TAGTACTGGAATTTTTGAATAGCCCTGATAAAGTGCCAGAAGATGAGCCCCTCAGGTCAGAAGGCACTCAAAAATATAACTGGGAAAGAGCTGCCTCATCACAATAGAGCCTACCTTAATGATATGAGTAAAGTAGAGCTTTCAGGGGACCTCCATTTGCTGAAATGGCATGACTCAGTATGAGAAGAAACAGCTGCAAACTTCCATTGATAATCAGAACATGAAATGTATGAAGTATGAATCTAGGACAATTGGAAGTTGTCAAAAATGAGATGGAACACATAAAGATTTCTATCCTAGGCATTAGTAAGCTGAAATGGACCGGTTTTGGCCATTTTGAATCAGATAATCATATGCTCTACTATACCAGGAGTGACAGATTGAAGAAGGATGGCATGGCATTCATCATCACAAAGAATATTTCAAGATCTCTCCTGAAGTACAATGCTGTCAGTGATAGAAAAATATCCATACGCCTACAGGGAAAGCCAGTTTATACTACTACTATTCAAATTTATGCACCAACCACCAAAGCCAAAGATGAAGAAATTGAAGATTTTTACCAACTTCTACAATCTGAAATTGACCGAACATGCAATCAAAGATGTGCTGATTCTCACTGGTGACTGGAATGCCAAAGTTGGAATCAAAGAAGAATCACCGGTAGATGGAAAATTTGGCCTTGGAGATAGAAAGAATGCTGGGGATCGCATGATAGAATTTTGCAAGACCAATGACTTACTCATTGCAAATACCTTTTTTCAACAACACAAACAGCAGCTATACACGTGAACTTCGCCAAACAGAGTACACAGGAATCAGATTGAGTGCATCTGTGGCAAGAGGTGATGGAGAAGCTCAATATCTTCAGCCAAAACAAGGCCAGGAGCTGATTGTGGAACCAGACCATCAACTGCTCATTTGCAAGTTCAAGTTGAAGTTGAAGACAATTGAATCAACTCCACAAGAGCTGGAATATGACCTTGATTATATCCGTCCTGAATTTAAAGACCACATAAAGAATAGATTTGATGCATTGAACACCAGTGACCGAAAAGCAGAGAAATTGTGGGATGACATCAAGAACATCATCCATGAAGAAGGCAAAAGGTCATTAGAAAGACAGGAAAGGAAGAAAAGACTAAAATGGATGTCAGAAGAGACTTAAACATGCCCTCGAATGGAGAGTAGCTGAAGCAAATAGAAGAAATGACAAGATAAATGAGCTAAACAGAAGATGTCAGAGAGCAGCTCGAGTAGACAAAGCCAATTACTATAATGAAATGTGCAAAGACCTGGAGTCTGAAAACCAAAAGGGAAGAACACGCTCAGCATTTCTCAAACTGAAAGAACTGAAGAAAAAATTTAAGCCTCGAGTTGCAATATCTAAAGATTCTATGGGCAATATATTGTATGACTCAGGAAACATAAAGAAGATGGAAGGAATACACATAGTCACTGTACCAAAAAGAATTGGTTGATACTCATCCATTTCAGGAGGTGGCATATGATCAAGAACCAATGGTATTGAAGGAAGAAGTTGAAGCTGCACTGAGGGAAGTGATGAAAAGGCACCAGGAATTGATGGGATACCCATTGAGATGTTTCAACAAACAGATGCCGCGCTGGAGGCACTCACTCAGCTATGCCAAGAGATTTGAAAGACAGCTACCTGGCCAACTGACTGGGAGAAATCCATATTTGTGCCCATTCCAGAAAAAGGTGATCCCACTGAATGTGGAAATTATAGAACAGTATCATTAATGTTGCATGCAAGTAAAATCTTACTGAAGAGATTTCAAAAACAGTTGCAGCAGTATATTGACAGAGGACTTCCAGAAATGCAAGCTGGATTCAGAAGAAGACGTGGAATATCATTGCTGATGTCAGATGGATCTTAGCTGAAAGCAAGAATATCAGGAAGATGTCTACCTGTGTTTTACTGACTATGCGAAAGCGTTCAACTGTGTGGATCATAATGTATTATGGATAACATTGCAAAGAATGGGAATTTTCACAACACTTAATTGTTTTCATGAGGAACCTGTACATAGACCAAGAGGCAGTCATTAGAACAGAGCAAGGGGATACTGCATGGTGTAAAATCTGGAAGGGTATGCGCCAGGATTGTATCATTTCCCCATACTTATTCAATCTATATGCTGAGCAAATAATCCAAGAAACTGGACTATATGAAGAAGAACGTGGCATCAGAATTGCAGGAAGACTCATTAACAATCTGTGATATGCAGTTGATACAACCTTGCCCGCTGAAAGTGAGGATGCTTGAAACATTTACTGATGAAGATTGAAGACTATGGTCTGCAGTACGGATTACACCTCAATATAAAGAAAACAAAAATCCTCACACTGGGACCGATAAGCAGTATTGTGATAAATGAGAAAAGATTGAGATTGTCAAAGACTTCATATTACTTGGTTCTGTGGTCAACACCAATGCAAGCAGCAGGCAAGATATCAGACATTGTATGTTGTTGTTGTTGTGTGCCGTCGAGTCAGCCTTGACTCATTGCGACCCCTCCTTGGGTTTCCGAGGCAGTATCACTACGGAAGTAGGATTGCCCAACCTTCCTTCCGAGGAGGGGCTGGTGGGTTTGAACCACCAGCCTTCTGGTTAGCAGTCAAGTGCCTTAGCCACTACACTACCAGACATTGTATAGCATTGGGCAAATCTGCCGCAAAGGACCTCTTTCAAGTGCTGAAGAGCAAAGATGTTTCCTTGAAGACTAAGGTGCACTTGACAAGCCATGGTATTTTCAGTCACCTCATATGCATGTGAGAGCTGGACAATGAAGAGGGAAGACTGTACAAGAGGTTTCTATGAGTCGGAGATGACTCAACGGCACCTAACCAACTAACTAACTAAGGTTTAGGCCCCATGGGCTGGGACCAAAGAATGAGCTATGGATAGTAGTGAGTGCACATGAGGTCCAGATGGCACTGACACTCTGACTCTAGAAACCCTCCTAGCGCATTAATCAGAAAACTTGGTGTAGGTAAGCTAGAATTTCTTATAAACAAGATCTCAGATATTAATACATACTGAAGCTTAGGCTTGCCTTGGTGAGCTCTGAGCTGTCAGTTTCCAGAATATGTTTATTGTTGCTGCTGCTGTTTATTGTTGTTGTTAGGTGCCATTGAGTTGTCTCTGACTCATAATGACCCTATGTACAATGGAATGAAACACTGCCCGATCCTGTGCCAGCCTCACAATCCTTGCTATACCTAAGCCCATCTTTGCAGCCACTGTATCAATCCATCTTGTTGAGGGCCTTCCCCTTTTTAGTTGACCTTCCACTTTACCAAGCATGATATCCTTCTCCAGAGAATGATCCCTTCTGACGTGACCAAAGTAGGTGAGATGAAGTCTGGCCATACGCACTTCTGAGGAGCATTCTGACCTTAATTCTTCCAAGATGGATTTGTTTGTTCTTCTGGCAGTCCATGATACTTTAAGTATTCTTCTCCAGCACCACAATTCAAAGTTATCAATTCATCTTCGGTCTTCCCTCTTCATTGTACAGCTCTGACATGGATTTGAGGCGATTGAAAATACCATGGCTTGTGTCAAGCTTCTTCATATAGTCCGGTTTCTTGGATTATTTGCTCAGCATACGGATTAAATAAATATGACATTCGTCACGTGTACTATTCAGTGGCACTAGTTACATTTATTATGTTGTTCAAGCATTACCATTATCCATTCCCAAATTTCTCATCACTCTTAATAAAAGCTCTGTGTCCTGTAAGAAATGAGTCCCCCTTTTCTTCTCCCTCCCACCTGCCCCTGGTAACCACTAATAAACTTGGTCTCTATATACTTGCCTATCCTAGATATTTCATGTAAGTAGACTCAGAAAATATTTAGCCATCAAGATTTTGCCAGGACACCCCTCGCCCCCCTCCTTTTTATTATTATTATTTATGTATTTTTTAGGGTGTATTTTAAGCCAATTACTTTTTTTTTAAATTGTGATTTGAGTGGAAGTTTACAAAGCAAATTCACTTTCCATACAGCAGTTCACGTACACGTTGTCTGATGACATTGACAATTTACCAATGCAACACCTCCCCTCCCACTTCCTCCCAATAGTTACCTCTTCACTGTGTCTCTCCCTCCATGCATTCCTGCCCCCTGAACTGTCTCCCTGTGCATAAACAGCCTTCTTTCTCCCATGATTGTTCTCTCCAAGGGATGTATCTACCTCAGGTACATGTTCAATTCTTATGCCTGTCTTCTGTTTGTATTATTATTTTTTTAATCTAATTTGGAGCATCTTAGAGTAAAACTCAGACACTATATCATTTTACACCAAATACTTAAGAAAAGCATACCCACAATGCCATTATCACAGTTAACAATTATTCCTTAATATCTAACACCTTGTCCATATTTAAATTTTCTACAGGCTCTTTTAGATAGTGTAAATAAAAACTTTTCGGGGGAAAAACTAATCTTCTGAAAAGCATGCTTAATTATCATTGAAACTAAAGAAAATCTAGTATAACTACAAAGATGCAATAGCACACAATCAACACTTCTCTTAGTTAATGCTAATAGATTGCTTCATGTTATAACTGTTTGTTGGAATAGCATCTGTAAATTCAGTACTCATTTTGCTCACGCTCCCTGCTTGGGTCTTTATAGTGTATGTGCTTATAATTGTTATTATAATATATTACATTAATAGCAAACATTTACGCTGTGCCAAGTACTATTTATTAACATGCATTATTTCTTACAGCATTCTGATGGGATAGGTATTACAATGTCTCCCTCCAATTAATTTAGTGACTTACTTTTGGTTATATAGCTAATATGTGAGATGGGGTTTTAATTTAGGTCTTCTAAGTGCTGGCTATGCTGCCGCCTTCGTATACTTAAAAGACTGATCTAAAAAGAATTGAATGATATAAAATTGGCCTTTTAAATTTCTTATTTTTTTTCCTGAATTTCTCTGTTGTCTCTTAACCTCCAGGCTGTAAGACTGGAAAGTACTTACCAGAATCGAACACGCTATATGGTGGTAGTGTCAACTAATGGTAGGCAAGACACTGAAGAAAGCATTGTCCTAGGGATGGATTTCTCTTCTAATGACAGGTAGAGTACCACAAAATAACCTGTTCCAGTTACCTTTTGAATTATCACAAAAACAACTTTTGTAGTTCTTTTCTTCAAGTTCAGTGTGGAAAACCATTGTAGTTCCCATAAAGTCAACTTGTATTTTAGACGCACAGTCTTGAGAGACAAGCACGTGTAGCTTACGTCTTTTGTTGTGTGTCCCTAATTTACCACTATTATTTACCTTCCTCTTATCTCTAAGTAGCAGTGACATAAAGTAAATGTTTGAGTTACATTATATTAAACTTACATTTCCAGGGAAAAAGCTGCTCTTTCCTGGCAGTCCACTTACTTTATTTTAATCAGGAATGATTCATTGTGATTCTAGGCCATACTCCATTTGTGATAGTGCACCAGGGTCTGGATTCAAGGAGATCCCACTTTAACTCCAGTCTCTTGTGTTAAGCCTTGCTTTTACCACATTTTGTACCTACTTTTTCCTTTTTCTGAGTAAAAACACACTGACTTTAATTTAAACTGAAAATGTTCTGTTGTTTCTTATATATCATTGTCAGTTTAACACGAAAAAGGAGAAAACTTGCAGGGGAACTGGAATGATTTCTTGATGTAGACTCTTTTATAATTAAGCATTTTTGGTTTTAGCTGCACTTCACTAAAGATATCACACAGAACTTGGCCTCCTTGTGTCTTTAAGTTTTGTGGCTTTCCTTTTCCCTCTTTTTCTGGAGAATCTTTGGGAAGGCTATGGAATGTGGCTGCTAAGCAGATCTTTACGCTCTAGATAATAAGCTTCAGGAAATCCTGCCAGATGTCTCAAAGCATTGACTTCCTGGTTCAGAACCAGGATGGAACTGTGCAGTAGCTAGGGCTGTGACTCAGGCCTCAGGGGAATTTAGCCACAAAGAGAGGAGGAGACTGGAAGTGATTCTAACTGTGCTAGTGGAGGGGAAAAAAAAAATTACATTGTAACTAGAAAGTTTTCCAAAGTCCTTTTTACTTGAGCTTGTACATGACAGTCAACCTGAAAATGACTTGTGGGTTCACAAGGGCAGAATTGTTACTTACTTGTATGTCGCTTACAGCCCTTAACTGTAAACCCTGAAATTACATCGGCTGTAAACCACATTTAGGAAGCTCCTGAACGGTTTTAACCTCTTGTGTTGTCGCCTAGGCAACAGACGATTCAGTAAGCATTTATTCTGTCAGAGCTCCCACTTTGATTACATTTATGTAAGGATTTCAAGATCTCTGATTAGAGTTTATAATCTGTCTAGATCCGTGCAACTACATGTGTCTATTTAAATAAAATATGATTAAATAAAATTTAAAATCCAGTTCCTTGTTATTAGTCACATTTCAAGTACTCAATAGCTGTATGTCCTCCCACCCCCAAGTTGAATTGATTCTGAGTCGTAGTGACCCTATAAGACTGAGAACTGCCCTGTAAATCCAAGGCTGTAAATCTTTTCAGAAGCAGACTGCCTCATCTTTCTTCTATGGAGCAGTGGGTTCAAACCTATAACCTTTCAATTAGCAGCCAAGTACTTTAACCACTGCACCACCAGGGCTCCTTGTATGTGGCTAGTGGCTACTATATTGGACAGTACATGTATAGAAATTTCCATCATGACCAAAACTGCAGCTGTACACTGCTGCTTCAGATCATATTACTTTAGTTTGATTCTACCCCTCCTTGGAAATGTGGTAAGATAGGAACTGGGACTACGTAGGAACTTTACTTTAGTCTTTCTCTAGAGACAGAAGGCCATACCTACAGATTCTCCTGACCCAGAGTGTGTCAGTCAGATGTCTATTCTTACCTCTTTGAATTTGTCCTAAACTTTTCTAGAAATCCTAAAGAATGCTGATTTATATGGGTGCCCAATAATTTTTCCTCCATGAGCCTCTTCTATCTTATGTAATAACCCTATCCAAATCATATCTGCCAGGTGCCACTAGGGAAAAGTCTAGTTTATGGGAGTCAGAAGGTGACATGAAAAGCTAGAAACTAGTTTTCATTCTGTAAACTTGATATTTTGAAATTTCTACACACCCTCTGCTTGAGTGAGCTTCTTGCACAGTAAGAAAAAGCTGCCACATCAGAATACTGGTGCTCAGGGAATCTAGTGTTACTTCAGTCTCTATTGCTTTTGAAGAATTTGTAACATTTTGTATCTGAGAATACAAAAAGTTAATGTTTCAAAACAGTGTTAAACAAGAGTGAATCCTAGATTGTTTATAATATATTCTTCCCAAAAATAGTTCTTGAGATATGTTATAGCCAATCCATTTAGCCTATTTACACGTTCCTTGAGAATTATGTTACATGTTAAGTAATAAATTGTTTAATATACGGTGTAACATTGGTTTTCAAAATGCATTGGATAGTTGTCCAGTTATAAAATAATACAGCTTTATGGTCTTGTTTTGCTTTATTTTCTCTTCATACTCCCAGAACCTTGAACATAGTAAACCAAAACTCAACTGCCATCGAGTTGCTTCCAACTCATAGCAACCCCTCCTTGGGTTTCAGAGGTGGTGTCTTTACAGAAGTAGACTGCCCTGTCTTCCTTCCAAGGAGTGGCCTAGTGGGTTTGAACTACCAGCCTTCTGGTTAGCAGTCAAAATGCCTTAGGCACTATGCCACCAGAGCTCCTTTGAACATAGTAGGCGTTCAATAGGTACTTGTTGAATGGGATGAATATCTATGAAGACAAGTAGTTATAATTTAATAGAAAAAATCTCAGGAGACTCAAGGTAAATGAGATAAAAATACCAGGTATACCTAGTATAGGTCTCTTCTTCCTGATATATGAAAAAGGTACTTCTTAATGTAGAAAATGCATTCTGACTTTAATTTAAACTGAAAATGTTCTGTTGTTTCTTATATATCATTGTCAGTTTGCCCAAAGTTTAACAAGCATCTGGTCACAAACTCAAAAATCACACTGTTTTGTAGCTTCCGTTTCATCTTCCTTAGTAACTTCGTTCCTAGATTTGTCACTGGGCTATCAGCCCTTCATATTTATACCCCACATTATACTTGTTGCTAGGAACCCTGCTAAACACTCACTAAAAAAAAAAAACTACTCTAAAAATAACCCCACTCCACCTTGGGAAGCCATTTTCAAGGCGTGTTTTTCATACCCTACCTTATTTAAATCAACAAAAATAGTGGGGTGCTGTTCTACTCATTCCTAGACTCTGGCATGATAACTGTGTCTCTGGTGCTCAGGCCCAGGCTTCCAATATAGATAAGCTGTTCCAATCTTGAGTTGTATCTCCTGTGCCCTGGAATCACTAGTGGGTGTTGAGTAACACAGGCCAGCGAATGCAGTGAAAGGCGTTAGACACAACCCAGCTAGAGACTGGCCTTCCTTAACCCTGAGGCGACTCCAACAATTAAAGCTTGGTATTCCTCACATTGTTTCTAAAACAATTGCATAATGCTTTCTTCCCTTTCCAACCCCCCCACCCCCAAATCACTTTCAGATGTGTTAAAACCCCACCGTAGATTCATATTCACCATTTGTTTTCCATGACCATAAATCACGTATATTGTTTCACTTTAAATGTTTTAGATCTTTGTACTTACTCTATGAGGGCAGGTTTTTACTATCTGCATTTTTAAATGCAGAGTTAAAGCTGAAAGAGGCTAAAGAACTTGTCAAAAGGAATTGAAGTACTGGCATGAAATCCAGATTTTTTTGGCTTAATAACCACTCAATAAATGGTTTGTTGTGGTTGTTATGTGCCATTGAATCAGACTCGACTCCCAGCGACCCCTCCTTGGGTTTCCGAGGCAGTATCACTATGGAAGTAGACTGCCCCATCTTCCTTCCGAGGAGTGGCTGGTGGGTTTGAACCTCCAGCCTTTATTGTTATGTCCTAAGCAGTATTTGAGGGGTCCCTGAGCAGGGAAAACAGTTAACACATTTGGCTGCTAACTGAAAGGACGGAGATTTGAATCCACCCAGAGGCTCCTTGGAAGAAAGGCTTGGTGATCCACTTACAAAAATTCAGCCGTGGAATTCTCTCCAGAACATTGTTATACCCTGACTCAGATGGGGTTGCCATGAGTTGGAGTTGACAGCAACTGGTTTTGCTTGTTGGTATGTTTGAGTTTTTGACTGATAAGCACTATTCTACACAGTTTTTGTTTTATCTGTTTAATTTTCAAAACAGCGTAATGAAGAATTTATTTTCATCCCTGTTTTACAGATGAGGAAACAAAGGCACAACAAAACAGTTAAATAACTTGCCTAAGATTATACAACTGATGCCAGAACCAAGGTTCCAGAACCCGTCCAACTCCAGAGCCCGTGCTTTAGCTATACTGTGTTCCCACATCTTCTGTGTCCCATATTCTTTACACTATATCATGTTGTTTCTCTCTGTATTTTGGCAGGGAGAAAGTGTAGGGGCCTTTAGAAGACTGGCCAGTGAGGGAAAATGATAGTTTATTGCAGCTTTAAAGAGAGAAAGTCGTAGAGGTCTGGGGTAGTTTACAGTTGTCCAGAGAAGTGATATGCTAGAGAGCTCACTATCAGGAGGCCCTGGCTTCCTGTTCCAACCTGTTCCATTAACTTGAAGCCAGTTTCTATCCTAGGCAAGTATGTAACTTAAATAGAATTTTAATATAACATACTAGAGTTACCTTTGATGTTGTTGACATTCCTATTAACTCTGCATTTCAACAGTGCTACTTCAGTATGTAGCCACCAAGCATTGCTTTATTTAAATTGTGTTGTATCTAACTTGATCACAACCTGTAATAATTGCTGCTTACATTTCTTAATTCCCTTTCCCTTCAGACTACTGAGAGTGTTGTAGTGTTCAATAAATCTATGTAAACCTCAGAACTGGAACTGAGCAAATCACATATTCATTGGTCTTTAGTAACCAGCAATTGTTCTTAATATTAGAAACATCATTGGAGTTCAGTTGAGTGCAGTGACTCTGGGCTGGTATCTGCCAAAAGCTATTCAGCCGTAATCACCTAGACAGTGGCCATTTACACAAGCTAGCCAATAGAGAGAACTCAGTCAATAAGCGTTTTGTTGTTGTTGTTAAATATGCAAGAAACTGATTAACCACCTCTTTAAAATAACTCCTGAGCACATACATGTGATTAATAGTAATATGACAGAAATGAGTCCATTCTATAACATTCTTGCCAAAATTTAGGGCTTAGGGGTTTTGTCTTTTGTGTTGAAACAAAGGGCTGTTTCCCAGAATAACAGGAAGGAACTTATGGACTGTTTCTTGTCTTACAGCAGCACTTGTACCATGGGCTTAGTCCTGCCTCTCTGGAGTGACACCCTAATTCACTTGGATGGTGACGGGTAAGAGCTTTTCTCTTTTTATTCTCCTACTTTCTGCCAAGGGGTAGGGTTCCGTCTTAGTGCACATTCATTCAGGTGTATGTGAGGCCCATTATGCCCAAATGAACTGTCTTGTTAGCAGCTCAGTGAGTCCTTTTTTTTTTTTTTTAATGCATTTTATTGAAATATAATTTATGTACAGTGAAATACACAAAACTAAAGTGACATGGATCAATGCTTTTTTTTTTTTTTTTTTTTTTTGGCAGTGTTCCCTCCCCTCCCCTCCCACCCCTAGCAACCAACAAAGAAAGTTTCTCTCCATATATAAACAAACCTTTCCTTGACCCCCCACAACAACAAACTAATGATATATTTGTCCTTCTGTGATTGACTTATTTCGCTCAGCATTATGTCCTCCAAGTTCATCCATATTATGCAGTGTTTTGCAGACTCTACATTATTCTTTAGTGCTGCATAGCATTCCAGTATGTGTATGTACCATAGTTTGGTCACCCACTCTTCCATTGATGAGCACGTAGGTTGTTTGCATCTTTTTGCTATTGTAAATAGTGCTGCGATGAACATGGATGTGCATATGTCTGTTCCTGTCCTGGCTCTCACCTCTCTAGGATATATACCTCATAATGGGATTGCTGGGTCAAATGATATCTCCAATTCCAGCTTTCTAATGAATCACCATATTGCTTTCCACAGTGGTTGTTGTATCACTTCACAGTCCCACCAGCAGTGTATGAGAGTCCCAATCTCTCCACATCTCTGTCAGCATTTGTTATTTTCTGTCTTACTGAACCTAGCCATCAGTGCTGGGGTGATACGGTATCTTGTTGTTTTGATTTGCATCTCTCTGATGGCCAGTGATTATGAGCATCTCTTCATGTATTAGTTGGCCACCTGAATATCCTCCTTGGTGAAGTGTCTATTCATGTCTTCTGCCCATTTTTCAATTGGATTTTTAATTCCTTTGCTGTTGGGGCGTTGGAGTTTTCTATAAATCTTAGAGATAAGTCCCTTGCCAGATATGTAATTATTGACAAGTATGAATTTTTTGCTGCCATTTTTGTTATATGCTTTTTTGTGGTGTTGATTTTTTGTTCCATATAATTTCTATGCTGAGCTCATTTTGTTTATGAATCACGTTATCATTTCCTTCGTTGCTATTGTTTTAGTATTTGCTAAATATTTGTGCTGGTCCTCTTTTTGATTTTGATGTGAAGGTTTATCATTTTTCTTTGCGGTTATTCTGTGATTTATAGTTTTCTTCCCAAGTTTAGAACAGACCGTTCTATCTTGTAGTTGTCTTGACTCCCCTACCATTTAGACGTTCTGTAACAACACAGTTTTTTCCCTCTTTTTGGTTTATAGTTGTCCTCATTTGTCAGTTGATATCTCTGGTTCCCTGTTTACAATCTTACAGGCTTACTTACTTTGGATACTTCCATACCTGGGTTGGTTTCTGGGTTATGTCATCATGTGTGTTAATGGTCAGTTGTTGTTTGCTGTTGTTGCTTCTCTGTCCAAAGGACTCCCTTTAGCATCTCTTATAAGGTTGGTCTGGTTTTAACAAATTCCCTTAATTTTTGCTTATCTGGAAACGTCCTAATTTCAACATCATATTTGAGGGACAGTTTTGCTGGCTACATAATTCTTGGTTGAAAATTTTTCTCTTTCAGGGTTTTAGATATACCATCCCATTGTCTTCTCACCTGCATGGTTTCTGCCGAGAAATCTGAACTTAGTCTTACTGGTTGCCCCTTGTAGGTAACTTTCCATTTTTCCCATGCTGCTTTCAGGATTCTTTCTTTGTCTTTGGTTTTGGTGAGTTTGATAAGGATATGTCTTGGTGATTTTCTTTTGGGGTCTATCCTTTTTGGGGTTCATTGGGTTTCTTGAATGGATATCTAGTCTCATCTTTCATCATAGCAGGAAAATTCTCTTCCAGCAAATCTTTGACCATTTTTTCTGTGGTTTTATTTGTCTCTTCCTGTTCTGGAATTCCAATTACATGTAGGTTATTCCTTTTGATGGTATCCCACATAAACCTTAGGCTTTCTTCATTTTATTTTGATCTTTTTTTCTGATTTATTACTTTCTAAAGAAATATTGAGGCATTTGCCTTCAGTCTCACTAATTCTGCATTCCATTGATTCAGTTCTACTCCTTTGCCTGTTCAATGTCTTATCTATTTCTGAAATTTTAGTATTAATCTTCTGGATTTCTATGTGTAAATTTTGTATAATTTCTAATTTTTCATTTATTTTGTCATTTTGTTCTTGTTTTGTCTTTAAAAAATTATTATATGGTTTTCTCTAATTTTGTCAGTGTTTTCCTATCTCAATGCCTTGAAGATACCTAAATTCAATTCTTTCAGATTCCTTATCAGGGAGTTCAATTGCTACATCTTCCTTAGGAATGTGTTTTGGGTCTGTATCCTGGTTCCTTGTTTCTCCTGCTTTATCTTGCTTCTTTGTGTGCACTGTGATGCTCTGTTGTCTCTGAGGCATTGTGATGTTTTTGTGTTTATATTTAACTGGTGATTGTATATTGGAGTGACTTGCCCACGATTTTTGTTTTCCTTGTTTCCTTTGTATGTTATCTACATAAGCAGGGTACTGGGTTGTGCTCCTCTATTTGCTAGTTGACACCACTTATACACTCACCACCCGTCTCCTTTCCCGTTGTCAGTCTCTCGTATGTCCCTGCCATCCTTGGCAAACAGAGCCTATTCTTGGGTCCCTGGAATCAGAATGAGAATGCTGTCACTTTAAAATCCAAAATGGCTGCACCCTCTGGGCAGCAGAAAGTCCACAGCTCAGGTTGTCTCCCTCCTTGCTGTTTCTCTTCCTAGTCATAGGTCACCAGTGCAGTCATCTCTGCAGCCCTTGGCGACCAGGACTGACCTCTAGGCCAATTCTCAGGTCCCACCATCACTTGGAAATATTCAGACTGTTGATCTTAGTCTACTGCTTTGACCATCTCCATACTCATTGTTTTCGTTCAGGTTTTTCACTAGTTGGTGCCTAATCCACTTCTGTATATGTCCTTTCAATGCACAGGGCTCCAGGATTATCTTCTGTATCTCTGTCAATTGCTTTCTCTTTTCTTTGTTGAAGAGGGTCTGTGTCGCTTGTCTACCTATTCCTTCATCTTGCTGAAGTCTCAATGAGTTGTTTTAAATTCTTCTCTTTTTAAATGGAGTAAAAATACAACTTGCCAGGGCCTCTCAACTTATGTTCTTCTAGGCTGACTATGCTAAGAATCCAAGCAAGGAAGAACTAGCTTGTTGACTCCCTCTTGAATTTGAGCACGTGGGACTGTTGCAATGCTCTTGCAGAGGATGATATGTTCTGTTTCAAACAACCTCTTGCTGCCTCTACCAGCTATCTACAGTATGACCCCTTTTCTGTGCCAGTTCCTTCCACTGATACTCCCACTCCCACTTGCTGATGTTTTTAGAATGAGTCCTGAGACCAAGATGTACTCCAGTTTATAAAGCTAGGGTTAGGTTTGCTAAAAACCCACAAGACTTGTAAATAGAAATATACAGCAAAACAATTTGTCCCATAACTATCATTGAGAAACTGTGTAACTCCATAACCCCAGTGTGAGAGAGTCCAGTCATTGTGCTTGGTGGGTAAAATCAGACAGTTTGTCAAAGCTGTTCAGTCAAGTCCTGTATTCTGGCTAACTTCTCCATGAGGTGCTTGATGATCCCCTTTACTGAGCCAGCTATTGCTAGTCTGGGAGATTACCTTGAAAAGTCTCAACTGAAAAAACTCATTGTCGTTTGTGAATTTTGTCTTTTCAGTGGGTTCAGCGTATCAACAGATAACAGAGTTCATATATTCAAACCTGTATCTGTGCAGGCAATGTGGTAAGATCACTTTTAGTATCTCTATGAAAATGTTTTAGTATGTGATTAGAGCCGTATTTTGTAGGTCTTAGTATTTGAAACAACTATGAAAATGCTGTATAATTTGTGTTAGGATTTTGTGTGATTTGTTTTTATGGTCATTATAGTTAAAGATAACATAGAAGTACAGTTTTCAAACTGTCACTGTGGGAGGCCTTGAGCATTGATAAGCACCTGAAATTCAGAGGTATTCTTAGACTCTGGAAGAGACCTAGTAGATCGGATTGCCAGTGGGAACTGAGTTTTATAGACACACACTGACCAAGTTAGTAATAGACCCAGGTCTAGGACATCGCATTGCCTGCATATTAGCTTTCAGTTTCTTAAGGCAATAAGAGCTAGCATTGACAGAGGATTTTATATATATGTCTATTATATAGACAGTCAGGTTTCTATTTAAACTGCTAGTGTCTGTTTACATAATGCAGATAAAGCCCAGAGAAAAAATTGTAGTTGTTAATAGTAGTCAGCTAGCATGCTGACATTTTGGGTTGTATACTGTGTGCCTGGCATTGTGATTTACGTAGATTACATTTAATCATCACACCAACCCACCAAATATTAGCCTCTTGGTACAGATGAGAAAACTGAGATTTTAGAGAGATTATATAACTGACCTGAGTGTATCTTTTATATATATGGACAGAATAGACTCTTTATTATATTGTTTCAAATTATCTGTAAAAATAATTAAATGTAACCAGGCAATGATATGACTGTAAGATTCAGAGTTCATCCCCCACTCAAGGAATTTAATTTCTGTTCCTAATTCAGCTGCATATTGTGTAGTAGAAGTCCCTATGAGGAGTGGAATGGAGAGGAGACAAACCAAACAAGAAATAAAGGAGCCTGAAAAAGACTCCAGGATGATAATCTACCCCTGAATAACAGAACTGATAGGATTGAGGTGGGTGGGGTCCTAAAACAGAGTCATGAACAATTAAAAGACTCTTATTTCCTGTAGTAAATGAGGTAGGACATAGAGTTTCAGGTCATGTGTTTAGACCAGAATATTTAGATTTAGGGCATATTTCAGAGGTAAATTTCTCATGGAAAACTCATGACCTCCTTTGACTAAGGCTCAGTTAAAGGCAACTAACCTATCTATTCCCAGGTAACAAGTAAAACCAAACAGCAATAAGTCCCATAAATGACAGTGTTTTCAGTTACATTTTTGAAAGGAGTTCAAAGCAATCTTAATCCTAAAGGACGGTAAAGATTCAATAACCTTAGGTCAAACATTGATGTTCTAAAGTAGACTGACTGACTAGACCTAGCTCTGTTAGCTTGTTGCAGAATAAACTTTTTTTGACCTGGGGAGTTGTGAATTGAAAGTGGTAGAAAAATTATAGATGATGTATGGATCAAAGTAGCATTCAGGCCAGGTGTTTCCTTCACAGGAAGGTAGTTACAGCAGCTCCCACTCCTGTGTGCAGCTGAAGTATCTGAAGTGGCCAGGCCTTGAGTGAATTTAAAGCAGTTGCACCAGATGCTTTTGACATTTGTTTTGAGACATTGGATGAAGAGAGCACGTATTGTGTATCCTGTACATTTCACTAAACTGGCCCTTATCTTGAATGTGTAGAATGAAACTGGTTTGCTGAAAATCTCTGAGAATTTGGCTTTACTTGGGAGTAATAACAACAACAAAACTTCCCTCAAGTCAATTCCCACTCATGGTGACCCTTTAGGACAGAGTAGAACTGCCCCCAGAGGTTTTCCAAGGCTGTAAATCTTTACGGAAGCAGGATTCCTCATCTTTCTCCCACAGAGCAGCTAATGGATTCAAACTACTGACCTTTTGGTTACTGGTTGAATGTTTAACCACTACACCACCAACGCTCCTCCACTTTGAGTAATAGAAAGCATTTAAAAAAAAAAAAAATGTCTGCCACTTGGTTTTTAAGGAAAAAGTGTTTTTCTAATGAAACTAGTCTGGCAAGTTATTTTCTTATCAAATTGGTAAAACTAGTTTTTTTTGTTTGTTTGTTTTTTGATTTACATTACATGGGATTGACAAAGACTCAATGAACAGACACTGTCATATACTACTGGTGGAAGAATTAACTGGAGCAATTTCTCTGGAGAGAGATTTGCCAGTATACCTTATAATTTTGCATACCCTTTGACCTAATAATTCTGATTCTAAGAATTCATCCTAAGATGAATCATGGGTGTGGGCAAAGATTTTAGCTATAAGAACATTTGTCAGTGTCCAGGTAATAGCAAAAAAAAAAAAAGGAGGGGGGAATAAATGTTCAGAAAACAGGAATCAGTTAAATTATGAAGTGTCCATGTTACTGAATATTATGCAACCATTAAAAAAATACATAGTTGACGAATATTTGTCGACATGGAAAGATGTTGATGACAGTGTAAAGTAAAAGAGCAAGTTCATAAATGTACAGAATATGCTAGTATGTTTGTTTATTATAGATCTATGCAGAGAAGAAAAACTGGGAAAAGATCTATGATGAAATCTTAACAGGGATTGTTTCTGGGTGCTAGGATTCCAGACTGTTTCTGCCTGTTTTATGTAAGGGCCCTAAATTTTCTACAGTAAAGCACGGCTCACTTTTATGAGAGAAAAAAAAGGCTTTTTTAAGAAAAAGATGTAAATGGATTGGCCACAGAATTCTCTTAGGTTTTTTTCCTTTAAGAGAGAAACATCAGTTTATAGTATCATTTCTCAACAAATTCTGTGAGCTGCAGCTATGAACTAGGCATTGTTTTAGGTGTTTGAGATGGATCAGTAAAAATCTACACAGGTCCCTACTACTCTTGTGTAACTTCCCCGCATTCTAACTTAAGGTTTTCCCAGTATATAACCAAAGGGGTACTTTTTAGTTGTGTTTACTCTTTTTCGGTTCCTGGAGCTTTGGTAGCGTAGTGCTTAAGGCACTTGACTGCTGACCAGAATGCTGGCAGTTTAAAACCACCAGCCACTCCTGTGAGTCAGGTCTGACTCGATGGCACATAACAACAAGAGTTGCAAGGTTTAATTAGTCTCAGAATAACCAGAGCTGTTCCTGGAAAGTAGCTCAAGTGTATGGATGAGTGGTTTAAAAACACTAGGAGACTAAGGCAACAAGAATGATAAATGTCATTAGATCAGCATTTCCTGGACATTAAAGGACATCTCCTCAAGGCTTGGAGACATCTATGCAATCACTGTCAAGGAGCTCAGGTGCCGGGCGTAGTGCCTAAGGCATCTGACTGCTAACCAGAGGGCTGGTTAAGTAGAAGCAGAATTCTGAAGAATGGCTGGTGAAACTATTCCTCAGAAGGAAAACTGGGCAATCTACTTCTATGGGGATACCACTTCGGAAACCCAAAGAGGGGTCACTATGAGTCAGAACTGTCTGAACAGCAGTGAGTTTGGTTTTTGTTGGTGGAGCATCTAAGAATGTTAGAGAATGTATGATGTAATATGATTCTGTGCCAAAGGAAACTTATCTTTGTAGAGTAAATTGTTGAGATCTTTAGTTCTCTAATGATACCGCATAGATAACAGCATAATTCCAGCCCAGTGGATCATGAGCTCCACGGGCATCTGGAGCTATTTTTCATTAGTGAGTTGTCCTTTCTTCTCCTCCCCACCAAGGATGCATCACATTTTTCACCAAGAAATGTGTCTATTGCTATGGATAAATAATATAATAATCAGAATCAGAAAATCTTATATTCCAAGGAGTACATACATCCTCCCGAGACCACATTCTGCAGGATTTAAAAATTGGAGGAGTTTGGGGTACATATGAATCATTGACCTTTTGGTTCTCTGCTGTCCTGCGGTGTTCATTTTCTAGCATGTCTTTCAGGTCTGCACTACAGAGTTTACACAAGGCTTGTGAAGTGGCCAGAATGCATAACTACTACCCAGGCAGCCTGTTTCTAACATGGGTGAGTTATTATGAGAGCCATATCAACTCAGATCAGTCCTCGGTCAACGAATGGAATGCTATGCAGGATGTGCAGTCCCACCGGCCAGACTCTCCAGCACTCTTCACAGACATGTAAGTCAGTTTGCTGAGGATAGTGGAAGTCCTCTGTATTGTGCCTTAAGGATGGTTGTAGGCAGCATGTTTCTCCATAATCTCTCCTGTTGGGGAAATTATCTTACCCAGTCATGTTAGTCATTGTGTACCTCACACATCCACCACACATAAAGAACGCTACTCAAAAAATCTAATGTTTTTCCATTGCCTACAAAGAAAGTTCTGAGGAGTTGCATTCCTGGACACAATGGAATGTCCATAGTTGAGAACTGCAGTACCATAAAATCCCATTAATTCAGATTCCACTAATTTGAAATTTGAGTACAGTCACACATCGCATGTCTTTTCAGGCAGTGTCTGACTACATACACATCCATGGCCCCAAAAAGTTATAATAAAGTTAAGAAATCTCAGTTGACGAATAGGACATAGTGGATGTAACCAGGCATGACATAGCAAACACAGCAACTTCTCACATGCAGTACTTATATCTCATGTCTCTTGTATACACATATGAACCTATGATATATGAACCTAAAATACGTATATCTTCATATGACCTATAATACATATATCTTGATAATCATAATAAACATCTATGTTACTGGCTTGTATATGTACTGTATTGTACTCTCTATCATCATTTTTATGTAAACTTTCTCTACTTAAAAATAAACAGTTTGACACGTACCAGCATACGCTTTGACTCATAGGCAGCGGCATCTAAATTCACGTATCATACATCTCTGGAGTGTTGTAGCATTATCGCTCAGTTTAATTTTCTTTAGAAAATACTACTGTGAAGTGTATATTGGCTCCCAAATGCTGCGAAACCAGTGCTAATGATAGCAGCAGCAAGCAGCAAAGGAGAAGTATTGGTCTGGAAATAAAACAAAGGTTATTATTAAACAACATCGAGGTAGAAAATCAGTGAATGCTATTGCTTACAATTTACGCGTGTTCGCACAATGTCCGAATCACATAACATCCTGTTTCACAGAACGTATCATGGCTGTTAAGTTATGCATGGCTGTATAAAGGAGTTGGGGTAAAGTTTACCCTTTTATTATCTATGAAAGATACATTCAGTAAGTAAATTAATGACGTAAGCTTTCAGAGGGATGTTTCTAATATTTTGGAATACTAGATGTTTACACTCTATTTAAAAGAATACTTACATTGTTGAGGTAATTTTCAGCTGATTTCTTTTTTTTTTTTTTTTAATGTTTTTAGTATTTACAATTTATGTGTCTTATTCAGCTCAGCCATTGCTTTGTTAAGTCCTTGTCAGTAAGATTTTATTAAATCTCCCTGATAAACCGTTAGTTGGATAAAGGTAGAGCTGATGTTTGTTTCCTTTTTAAGTCTATGTGTTGAAGCTTATGTGACTATTTTAGAAATTTTTTCACACTTAGTTCCTGCTTTGGAAATTAACCAGGATGTTTATTTTGCTCTGAATTGATATTTCTGCACTCCCAAGATACTTAAGATGCTTTACAGCTGGAAAAGAAGAGTAACTATTTACTATCAGACCTTACAAACAGGATTCGCCTTCAGATTCCTAAAGTCATGCCAGAACAGTTCATGTTTTGTTTTAAAAAAGGAGGAGGGGCTTAATTAGATAATAGTTCAATGAATGCTTTTTGCTAGAAAAGTTAAAATTCTAAAAACTGTGTGAAAGGAACAGTCATAAAAACAGTGGAAACAATTAGGGTGTTATTGGTACAAGGATCTCTTTTAAGTGGCAAGAGATCACAGTGTACTACAAAGATAAAGATTAGTCCAGCTTACAGAAATCTTGGAAAATGTTACTGATTTCATGCTTTCCAACTGGTTGATGGATTTGAGAGAAATGATTATCTCATCTAGCTCAAAATGGATATTCTGAAGCCACTTATGTGAGTGCCATAAACGGACACCAACTGACACCAACTGTAAAAACGGCAAGGAGGCCACATGTTCTGACCTCCTCTAATCTCACAAGAGGAAGACAGCAGTAACCCAAGGCCTATTTCTGCAAGGTCAAACATGCTGCCTCCCTCCAGCCCTTTCACCAACCGTTCCTCCCAAAG